TGTGTTGTCATCAATCACCAAAAAGGGGGCGATTGAAAGCATCTAGGCCCCTAGTTGGGTTTCGGTGATTAATGACGACACGAGATTACTATGACTAACGTGTGTTTTGTAGAGGCAATTTGAGTTAGGTCATGGTAATGGAAATTGATTGGGCAATCATGGCTGTCATGCCCCTATCGATGGAAATCGTTTCAGTTTTCAAAGGATGGACGACAAGGTTAAGGACTGACTAGTTCTAAGTGTCGTTTGGTGTTGGAGAGACACTTAGAGTCATTTAGGACTTTGTTTTTCCTTTGGTCGTACTATTAAGGGGGGTATGGACTAGTAGCTTGACCTAGGTGAGTCTAGTGGGTTAGGTGTGGTGCACATTTGTCAAACCTAGCACTAGGTAGCTCAGGAATAGCTCTAAGATCAATTGGAGTCAACTTCATTCACATAGGATTTCGAGTTGGAAGTGAATGGAGGGTCAAATATCTAATCGGACGCTGGTCTGGTTGTGACCGAACGCTGGAGGGTGAGTCCGGTCAATTCATTTGATCAACTGCAGTCGTCTGGTATTGACCGAACGCTGAGTGGAGGAGCACCGGACGTTGGGGTGCCTGCGTCCGGTCCACTCCAGAGAGGTTCCAGAGAGGTTTTTTCTTGACCGGACGCGTCCGGTGTGTGCTGACCGAACGTTGGTCAGAGTCCGGTCAATCAACTACCATCGTCTGGTACTGATCGAACGATGAGTGGAGGAGCACCGGACGCTGGGGTGCCTGCATCCGGTCCACTCCAGAGAGGTTCTAGAGAGGCTTTTTCTTGATCGGACGCATCCGGTGGGTGCTGACCAGACGCTGGTCAGAGTTCGGTCAGAACTTAACGGCTCTCTCCAACACAGTGGCGGGCACAACTGATCGGAGCGTCCGGTCACCCTGACCGAAGCGTCCAGTCAGCCCACAGAGTGATGACTCAGCCTCCAAACGTTATATTTTGAATGAGGGGGTATAAATACTTACTCCACTCATCCATGGGAGGTCTCTTGCCCATTTTTTAGCTGAGAAACACCTTTGGAGTGCAAGGGAGGGCAAGAGCCTAGTGGGATGATCGAGATTTGATAATCCAAGATTAAGAACCTCATTAGTGCATAGGAAGTAGCAAGTGTGCATCTACCTTTCTCATTAGGCTTATCTTGGTCAAGTGAGAGTTTGTGCTTGTTACTCTTGGTGATCGCCATCACCTAGACGGCTCGGTGGTGATTGGGAGCTTGATGATCATCTGACGGAGCTTGTGGATGACCCAAGTCATGTTGTGAGCGGTTGTGGACAATTCACCGCGACGGAGTGTCAAAGAATCAATCCGTAGAGAGCACTTGATCCTTGCGCGGATCAAGGGGGAGCTACACCCTTGCGCAGGTGCTCCAACGAGGACTAGTGGGGAGTGGCGACTCTCCGATACCTCGGGAAAACATCACCGTGTTCCTTTCCCTCTCTTTACTTTAAGCATTTACATTTGAGCAATTCATTTCATGTCTTTACATTCCTATAATTGCCATGCTAGAGTAGGATTGGAACTTACGGTGCAAAACTTTTATGTGGGAAAACAATAGAAACACATTTTAGGCACAGGGGATGAAATAAGCTAAGTGTAGGACTTAAGTATTGCAAAAATTTAGAATTAGCCCAATTCACCCCCCCCCCCTCTTGGGCATCTTGATCCTTTCAATATTCATGAAATTTTTGTTCCAATTGTGCCCAAGTTACAATGGATTTAGGAGCAAGTGATGAAAACCAAGTAAATGCAGTACCATATAATGATAAAGAAAATAATTTCAATTTATAAACATCTGATGTACCAACTTCCCTGATTTGTGCTAAAAATTATCCTATATGCTCAAAAGTGGACCTAGCATCTTCCCCCGTAAATTTAACAAAATCTGGAATTTTAAAACCACGGGGGTATGGTGTTGAATCAACATATTCAAGATAGGGTTTTTGATATGCACGAGCTTTACCTTTAGGTTCTAAACCAAGTTCTCTAAGCACATTAGCAATTTGGTCTTTAAAATTCTGAGGTGGCTCTAAAGAACTAGTTTGCGGCATAGATGCAACATTGTTGTTTAACTGTAACTCCGGCAAAAAAGGTTGAGCATGCGGCACATGTTGCGGAGATACATTAGGATACATATTTGATACCGGCCCATAAGGAACCCCGGTACCCATAGACAGCAAAGATGGAGCAGTATATGACGCCGTCTGATAATAAGGTTGTTACAAATTAAAATTGACAACTCGGTTGCCTGCAGTCGATGATTGTGGAACCGAAGTTATAACAGCAAAATTAGAAGCACTAGGCGCAAAATTAGGTGCAAAATTATTGGCCGAATTGTTAACATAATTTCGGCCACTTTGATTATCACCTAAGGTAACATTAGGCTGCACAAAACTAGCCGATGCATTAACCGTAGAAGTGGCATTCGGCAGCTCTGCCGAATTAGTATTTTCAAAATGCACGGGCTATTTTTTGAGATGTTCATCCCTAACTTGTAACACTGCTGAACGAACTTGTCGAGGTAAACTATTTACGATATCTTGATCAAATTGTAATCTAAACTCATCAAATTTACCAAACAAAGAATCATTCATTGTGCGTGTCAGATTTTCCATCTGTGCGCCATATTTACTAGCTACCGTACACCAATTAGATGACTAATTTCTTCAATGGCCTGATTTACTTACATCAGTGCTAGGTGAAGCAGAAGAGACTGGTGCAGCTACCTTGTTGATGACACCGTTCCTCGTCTTCTGGAAGCCTGCTAACTTTCTCTGTAGACTCCCCAGCCTCTCTCCCTCGAGCTCCCGTTCAATCTCCCGCCGTCCCTCTTCAGATAGATCATCGCGACGGCGATGATGTTGTCGATGTCGATCTGGCTACCGTCCTTGGGGCTATTCTCCATTGCTTGTTTCTTCTTATTCTTCTTCTTCTCCAGCGGAGTCGCCAATTGTGTTGGCACGCGAAATTGATCCGCGCAACAACACGATAACTATCGTATTTTCGCAACGACGAGTGATTGCTTTCCGAGCAAAGCAACAAAGGATCCTCGCTTTCGTGGAGGGGAACCGACCGTTTTTCAGCGCAAAACGGCAAAGATGAATCAATCCCTAGGCTAGCTAGGATTCGACAAGACTACGAACTACTATGCTGGAAAAACATAGATGTATTTTTGTGTTTGTCCATTGATCAGAAGAAAAAACAATCGGCCATGGCCAATTGTTATCGTGTTGGGTCCACCTGGTCTTCGGCAGAGATACACAACGGGAGTTGGATACATGTACGAGTACTTCTCTGGTATGGAAATAGAATAGAATAGAATATCCCTATTAATCCTCTGGTTTGTTGGCCTTGTTCTTGATACATCAAAATTCCCTCCGTCCAGCCAATCAGAGAATTTGCACCTTCCAGCCAAACAGTTAGCTGACGTTAAAAATCTTTTCTGATCTTCCTCCGAGTCTCTTCTGTGTCCTATTCATGCACGTGATTTTCATCGAGGCCGTGTCACATTTATCAATTATGTCGAACACACCTGGCCCTATAGAAATAATACTTAAACAATGTGTCAGCTAACTAATTTGATCACCAGCGACTACAGGAATTTGGCCAACCATGTATACCAATTAACTAGCCAAATTACACCACCAACAGCGCGCACAGCAGAGCGGGAGCGAGCGTCGCAGGTGTAGGGGGGCGGCAGACAGGAGCGAGAGGCGCGGTTGGGTGGCGCGACGAGCGGAAACGTGGAGCGAGCGACACGGGATAGGGTGCACGGCGGGGGGAGGCGGCAGCAGCTTGGTAGAGTGGGGTGCGCGGCGTCCGAACGGATGCCCGCCTGCGTGGGAGCATTATTGAAGCCCAAATGAGTAAATGACCTACGGCTGATTGAATCCACTAGCGTAGACTGTATGGATCCCATCAGTTAGAGCATTTTCAGAACAGAGGAATAAAAAATAAAAAACATAAAAATTTATAAAAATAGGTGTTTTTAGAACACAAGAACATAAAATGTTCTCTCTCCCTTCTCATTAAAAGGAATTGCTCATCTCTCTATTTACATGTAGGAAAAAATTTTAAGAGCTTAAATTGGATGTTTTATTTCTTTCATATTTCATAAAGGAAAACAAGCCTTTCATAGGAAAAGAAAACTTCATGTCTCGGATCAAGTGGTGCTACAGGATCAAATTCCTGCAATTCTCAGTTGTCATTGCATGACTAGGTCTTAATTAACGACAAGTTAAATTATTCTTATAAAAAAAATTGACCTGAAAAGTGAAAATGTTGTCAAACGACATCATGCACACGACTACACAACATAATCCGATTCTTGAGATTCCACGTCGCAGCAGCAGATCCAGCATTGATGCTCAATCCCCAATTCGTCCTCAGAGAAGATAGCACAAGGTCATCCACCGGTAGCCAGGACACGGAGAAGCATAGGCGGGCGCATATTTCGATTTCCGAAGGGACGGGGGCGCGTACTTGGTGGCGGTTGCTGTAGCAGGCTGCAGCCATTGGATCCGGATGGTGGTGACACCACGCCCACACGGAGTAGGAGCACAAGGCGGAGGCGCGCGTCCAGTTGCCGGCGGTGAACGGATCTTGGCAAGGAGCGAAGAAGCGATGGCGCCCACCACTTGTTCAAGGAACCGATGCCCTCTCGGGCCACAAGACGGATCTTGGTGCGCAGGGCCGCTGGCGCCTCAAGCTGCGCCGCCCTCACCATCGGCATTACACAATCCGAATTCTAAGCTCTAAGATGCTTAGTATTGGAAGGCATGGCATTAAGAAACAACGAAATCTAGAAGATTACTAGACTATAGTGCTATTAATAAATGAGTAAAATTATCAAAGAACACCCAAAAAAAAAGATGAACACGTAGCTAGTATTGTGAATTTGATTATTTGATTGATCATGCAACGCTGCCCTTTAAAACTGAATTCGCCAAGTTGCCAGTTGCCACGAACGCTCACGCCGCGGCGGCCCTTGTCACCGGCTTCTCGTCGGCTCCGTCTTCCACATCATCATCCTCCTTCCCGGAGGAGTTCAGCCCGGCCACCTCCTCAAGCTCCCTCCACGGCCCGTCGAACTGCTCGGGGAACTTCTTGCGCAGACCGACCACCACCCGCCTCGCCGCTCGCCCCTTGCCAGCGTCCTTGAGACCGCGCACCAGCACACGCACCGTTCCGAGGTCGGTCACCTTCCGGCGCTTCACTCCCGCGTAGAACACGTCCTCCGCCTCCGACCACCGCCCCGCGCCACACAGCGCGCCCACCACGCAAGTATACGTCGCGCAGTCCAGCGCCACGTCCGCCTCCTCCCCGGCCTCCAGGCTGCGGTACACCTCCACCGTCTCATCGACTCTGTTGTGCCGCGCCATCGCCCGCATGAGCGCGTTGTAGGACACGAGATCCGGCCGGAGCCCGGCCTCCTCGCGCATGACGCGGATCAGCTCCTTGACCTCCTCCACGGTGCCGTTAGCGGACTTGTAGGTGATCCGGGCGTTGTAGGCAGCGGTGTCGGGGGCGATGCCGTGGTCCTGGACCATGGCGCGCCACAGCTCCTCGGCGCGGTGCGGGAGGCGTTGCTTGTAGAAGGAGTCGATGATGGCTGTGAAGAGCTGGAGTCGGCGGCGCCCCCGACGAAGGTTCCCGGAGGAGGTGGAGCGCGGAGTCGGCGCCGGAGGTGAGGCAGAGCGACTTGGCGAGGATGCTGTCCGTGACGGCGTCCCGCGGGATAGAGGCATGCGCGGCGAGGATGGAGGGCACCAGCCCGGCCAGGCGGCGGCGGCGCAGGAGTGGGCTGAGGACCGCGTTCAGGTGCGCGGTAGTGGGCGACGTGATGGTTCCGAGCAGCGCGGAGGCGCGGTCGGGGAGGCCCACCGAGGAGAGGGCCGAGAGCGCGGCGACGGGGTGGGAGGGGAACAGGGGCGCGAGGGTCGCGTCGATGTCGTCGAGGCGGCCAGCGCGGGCGAGCTGGCGAAGACGGGCGATAGGGACGGGGAGCTCGGTTTTCTCTGCCGCTGTCGCGGCGGTGGAGAGGAGCCGGCGGCCGGCGGTGGAGAAGGTTGCGGCGGCCATAGCGCGGAGGTGCGGAGCTAAACAGAGTCGATACTCTATAGCGACCAGAGCCAGTGCTACTAGGGTTTAGAGAAGTCGGATGCTATAGTGGTCGGGCTTCTTCTGTTAGAAAGAATTTGTGGAGGCCAGCCCATCCAGGCCCAATTTTCTGCATGTCCTTCCTTCAGGTCCAATTTTCTTTTTGTCAAAAAAAATCAGGTCCAATCTTCTGCATGCCCTTTCTGTCCATATTCCACATTTTATCATTGCTTCCTGACCATATTTGCCCATACTTTACCAAACAATTGCCTGGAACAGTAGACAAGTAGCACATCAGATTCCTCTTCAAAAGCATCGAACCAAATTTCTACCAAATTTCTACTAGTATGAGTAGCATGTTTTTATTATTTATACCCTAATTAAGAATAAAACAGATTACAAGGTCGTTTAACTTAGATTGTGTTATGATGAAGACAGTAAGATCAAACGCTATTTCTCAAAAAAATGAGAATTACATTCTTTTATGAACTGAGGGAGTAACTAATTAATTAATTAATATGAGAAAAAAAAAAAAAACTCGATCAAATCCTCAAGTAACGGAAGAGAGAATCCAGCACGGCGCCAACCTTTTCCGTGCGAATGACCCCCTTCCTTTTCGGCTCAACGTGAATACACTGCTATTTTAGTTTTGTTTTTGCTTTTTGCTAAAAATGTACATTTTTTTTTGAATCGAATACACTTTATTCTATTTACACATCGATGAAGTTATTTTATATTTTAGTTGGTTTTGATATTTTGTCTTAAAATTGGTCAAAATTTTTATGATCCGAGTCATGTTAAAATTGTACATCGCTCATATTATATACTCAGTTAAAAATATGTAAAGTGGCCACATAAAGATTTGTATATATACAGACACACGCGTAGAGTTTCATGTATGTTGGACACGTTCTTGGCACGTACACATTTTAGTATGTCTTCGGCACGTTCGTACGGTAGCATGGCTTCACCGGCTTTGCTTCCACAGTTCATTCTACCCAGGGCAGAGAAGCCCTCTGCTACAGTACTTCGCAGTGCTGCTACAGCCGGTTTGAGGAAGATGGCCAAACGAGCCCTCAGAACTGCCTGAACGGATGTAGAACGATGCTGCTGCCCAAATGTAATTAAGATGTAATTACGAAGGTGATGATATTCAAATCACCAACATGGTGAAAGGGAAAAACATCAGCATCGGCATAGGGTCGAAGCTTCACCTGAAAGCATGCGTTGGTGCAGAATGTGATCAACTAGTAAATATTTATAGTTTTATCGTACGTTGTAATTGGAGGTGGCCTAGCACTCAAGGACATAGGGTTTATACTGGTTCAGGCAAAGTGCCCTACGTCCAGTTTGGGTCGGTCAGTGACTTTATTCCTGAGCCCAGGTGCTCGAAGTTTACAGTGGGATTACAAACGAGAAAGAGAAAGATGGGGTGTACAAGAGATCCAGTCGGCTCCAGTCGGAAGGGCCAAGAGCGACACGAGCTACGCTATGAGCTAAGAGTTCAAGCGTGGCTTGGGATACGAACCCGGCGGTTCTGTGGTTGTGAGCTGATGAACTTGATCGATGTTGGTTTTCTCAAAAGGACTAAAGAAGCTCTCCTTTGTTGGAGGGAGCGCATCCCCTTTTATAGATAAAAGGGATGGCTTTACAAGTGAGAGTGAGGGTACATATGTTACTGGGCTCTGTCGCCCATGCCGGCGGGTACAAGATAATGGTAGGCGCCTACAACACTGTCGGTCGTCACTGTAGAGTGTCAGATGCATGTGGGAGGTTGTGTTTGCCTTCTTCGGGAATGGTAGACGTCGATACCTGTAGATACTGTTTGATGCCTAGAGGCGCGTGAGGAGTGTCACCACGTTCGCGTGATACGATAAATCCCGACGGCCACAACACTATCGATGCCCAGAGGCATGTGGGGGCATTACCGTATGGGGGTTAACGGCGCCCACAATACTGTAGAGGTAAAAGCCGACGTCTACAATAATGTTTGTCAGGTTGCAGAGTACTGTTCCTACAGGCGTGCAGGGTATGGTCCCTGGTATCGTGGTTTGACTTACGCGCTCTGGCTTGCTTTCTCCGTCCGTCCCTGGCTCCTTTCGAGCGGGCGTCCCCGGTCGGATGGCCCCAGTCGGCCCTGGTCGCGCCAGTCGGAGAAGAGCGGTGAGCAGGGTTTCTGCGCACCCTGGTCAGAGACGCGGGGTTGAAGTCGAAAGTAGCGCTTGGGCCAGGCCTTCCGACCGGAGAGGCCGTCCGGAGGCGGCTGGAGTCCGAAGCGAGCGCTCCGGTCGGAGAGGCGGGCCGAAGTAGGCGACGAGCGGGCGCCGTTCCTCTTCGGTCAGACCTTTCGGTCGGTGACTGGACCGCTCTTTCGGCCTGTTGTTTTAGATCCTTGGGCCGGCCCATGAGTTGTGTGCTGCCGCTTGAGCCGAGCCTTGGCGTGGAAGCCGGTCCCCGAGGGACCCCAGATTTATGAACGCGACAGGAGCCCCCCGAGCCCCCAGGCGATTCGGGACCCGAATCGCCTGGGGGATTTTATTTTTGACGGAGAATGATTCAATGGAGAAGTTGACCGTTGTGGGCCGGGCCTGAAGGGTATAAATACCCCCCGCCCTCCTGATGTTCAGTAGGTGAGTGCTGCCCTTGTCGATGGAGTACGTCAGCGGAAATTTGTGCAGCAACAGCCTAGGGATCCTCATCATCAGTGGCTTGATCTTCTTGTGGCCTAATGTCGCCTATAGCCATTTGCTTGATTGCCTCACATGGTGGATCCTCCTTCCCTACAACACTTGAATCAACTTGCTCTACTTGAGAGCCATTAGATTAATCAAATATCACATCTACCGTGACTTCAACTCTACCCATGGTTTTGTTGAAGACACGATAGGAATGCTCATTTGATCCATAACCAAGAAGAATGCCTTCATCAACTTTAGGTGCGAATTTAAAGGTTTTGGGTCTTTTGTTAAGTATAAAACACTTGTACCCAAACACTCTAAAGTATGACACCTTTGGTTTGTTACCGGTTAAAAGCTCATATGAGGTCTTCTTGAGTTTCTTGTGTAAGTAGAGGCGATTGATGGCATGGCAGGCGGTATTGACGGCGTCACTCCAAAAGAGGTCCGACGTCTTGTATTCATCTAGCATTGTCCTTGCCATATCAAGAAGTGTACGGTTCTTCCTCTCTACTACACCATTTTATTAAGGGGTGTAAGGAGTTAAAAACTCATGCTTGATGCCCTCATCATCAAGAAATTCTTCAACTAGAGTGTTCTTGAATTCGGTCCCATTGTCACTTCTTATCTTTTTTATAGGAAGACCGAACTCTCTTTGTGCTCTTCTCACAAATATCTTGACTTTCTCTTGTACCTGAGACTTATCATAAACAAAGAACACACAAGTGAAACGGGAATAATCATCAACAATAACTAGACCATATTTGTTACCCTCGATGCTTATGTAGGCGACCGGTCCAAAGAGATCCATGTGAATCAACTCCAACGGTTGTGTGGTGGTCATGATGCTCTTTGGTGGGTGAGGTACACCTACTTGCTTTCCGGCTTGGCAAGCACTACAAATCCTGTCTTTCTCAAATTGAATATTGGTTAGTCCAAGTATGTGGTTGTCTTTTAGGAGTTCGACCAAGTTCCTCATCCCAACATGAGCTAGTCGGCGATGCCATAGCCAACTCATGCTAGATTTTGCCACTAAACAGGTCTCAAGCTTAGCTTTACTTTTGCTGAAATCGACTAAGTAAAGCTTGTTCTTGAGATGACCCGTAAAGACAATAGAGGAATCCTCCCTCTTAGAGACTTTCACACCCTTATCCGTGAAGAGACAATTGTAGCCCATCTCACATAATTGAGAAACAGACAGCAGATTGTACTTTAAGGAATCAACATGTAAGACATTTATAATTGAATGATCAAGTATAATAGCTACTTTATCAAGTCCAATCATACCCCCTTTTGAATTGTCACCAAATATGATATTCTCATCTAAATTTGTAGTTGGAGAGTATGATGAGAACATACTCCTTTCTCCGGTCATATGATTTGTACAGTCGCTGTCAAGCACCTAACTTGACCAACCGGAAGAGTATGCCTGCAACACAAGTTTAGTTCCTAGTTTTAGGTCCCCAAATATTCTTGGGGCCTTGCATGTTAGTCACAAGAACTTTAGAAACCCAAATGAAAGCATTATGATAAACATTTCGACCATTGCCAACAAACTTGGCAAACACCTCCCTCTTGCTGTTGTGCTGCAAAACAAAGTTAGATTCCAAACATTGTGGATGTGTTTTTGCCTTTGGTTGGTAAGCATATCTATTTGGAGTGACCCAGATAGATTTCTTTGGTTTCTGGACAACCTGATCTGGATGAGACACCTTCTTTTTGGGCTTGACATGAGCAGATGAGTAGGAGATGGTCTTTCCTTTTCTATGGGGCGGCACTGCCGTCCTTCACAGTGACACTGCCGCCCATAGGCCGTGGTGCTGCTCTGGGCTGACCTTGTGCCACTATCTGTGCAGACCTATCTGTACCTTCCTGTCCTTTGCTCACGAACTGAACACACTCATATCCATTGATTACCTTTCTCCCATTGGTTTTACCTCCATGAGTGTGTCCAAGCCTATCTTTGATGCGTGGATTTCTTTCATCTTTGTATTGTGGCCTCTTTGGTTTTTCACCTTTGCCACCAGCAGGTTTCTTGTCTTTCATGCACCTTTTTCCTAACATAGCATTGAGCCTAGCAATCTCCTTTTTTATAACCTCCAAGTTTACAAGGTTAGTAGAATGAACATTTAAGTCAAGATTATAGCAATTTTCACATCCTTGGCTAGTGGAGGAAATAGAAGTGTCATTTGTGTTGGAGGAAAGTGGGGTGCTCTCACATAGAAGGTTATATTGCTTCTCAAGTTTGTTGTGTTTTTCAACTAAGACAATACTTGTCATTGAGTGCAATATTTGCCTTCTTTGTGA